GCTTCACTTTTCTCTATAAATATAATCTAGGGGGAAAACACGTCCTTAGAAGAGCAAAGTTCATTATGACAGAGGGCAGAACGGACAGGAAAGTGAGTCTCCCCGTGCGCAGCGCGCTTCTCGGTCAGGATTTTTCAAGCTGAAGGCTGATTTATTCCCGCATGCCTTCCCTGGTCCACGCAACGCCAGGCACAGTTTAGGGACTGGGGAGACGGTGGTGACTACACACCCTCTGCCTCCCAGGTGCTTCCAGACCAGTGAGGGAGATGGACACCACCTTCACACAGGGGTTGGTCTTTAATTCTTTGCAAATGATGGGACGGTAACAATCGGTATGGAGGCAGCCGTGTGGGTCAGAGGGGACCGCGGGTCCAAGGGGAGACAGGCGTGGCTAGAATGCAGTGGGCAACAGCGGGGAGCGGCGGGAGGTAAGGCCGGACCGCACGGGGTCTTGTAGGCCATGATCAGGGTTATGGAAATGGAAAGGCACAGGTTTTAAAAAAGGGAGTGACCGATCTGATGGAGGTTTTTAAAAATCGCTCTGGCTTGTGTATAGCAATGAGAGGCTGGAGGGTCAGGGCGGGGGGGGGGGAACAAAAGAGGGGCTACCTCTGAATTTAAGCCAGGAACTGATGGTGGGCTGCACTGATGTTGACGGCAGGTGCTAAGTACATACATCTGATAACCCGAGACCAGAGACCAAGGGCTCAGTTTTGAGAGTTTAGAGGAACTTGGACTGGTTAAAAACACTGGGACTAGGCTGAGACGAGGGAGGCACTTGCTTTGAATGCAAAATTTACTCTGAAATCAGGATGAATAATATGTCAATGTAGTATTTTTTAAAAGTCAAATTTCATGCAAAAAATCTGTGATGAACAAAATATCAATTTTTAAAAGATTTTATGTATTTATTTTTAGAGAGAGGGGAAGGAAAGGAGAGAAGAGAAACATTAATGTACGGTTGCCTCTCACTCACCCCCTACTGGGGACCTGGCCTGCAACCCAGGCATGTGCCCTGACTGGGAATCGAGCCAGTGACCCTTTGGTTCATAGGCTGGACTCGATCCACTGAGCCACAACAGCCAGGGCAAAATACCAATTCTTTTAAAAGACAGAATCAGTAACAGTGCTGGGCCAAGCCATATAAGGAGCCTGAGGCACAGAGTAAAAATCAGTAGTATTCAATCATTTTATATTTCCTCACTCTTGCTCTGGCTAACTGACCCCCCCACCTGTGAAACAAAGAGGCAACCATGTAACACTCTGCTCTGAAAACAGATATTATGGGAAGAAAGCTGATGACATAAATCATCACGAATCTTTTTTCCTGATCCCGGAGACTCTGAAACAGAAGGTGCAGAACAGTTGCTTCATAAATATTTCTGATGATAATGTTAATGGCTATAATTTATCAGGTTCTTACTATGTCAGGTACTTTGCCAAGAGCTATTAAATACAATGATCTCATCTGGGTCTTAGGACAACCCTGTGTGGTGTTGCCCCTGTTTCACTATGCCTGGTATGTACTCATTTAGCATTTAGTAAATAAAGGAAAAAAGAAAGGAGGGTCAAGAGAAGGGAAACCAAGAGGAAGAAAGTGGCAGGCCCTGCACTGTGGGGATGGCCGGTCACTCCGACCCCTTCCGGGGAAACACAGCCTCCGACAAACACTGTTCACCAAACTCGAAAGGACCTGGTGAAGATGGAAAATAACCTTAAATATCACCTGTCTCCATGGGGATTATTTTTGGTTATTTTTTTAACCCAGCAGCTTTTCTGAGGACAGTTCTTGAGCTCACTCATCCCCAAACACAGACTGAGCAGTTACTGTGTGCCAGATGCCGATTTAGGGGCTGACCGTGATGGGGGCAAAATAAACCTGTGTGCGTGTGTTGCACTGACCGACAATAATGAGTAAACAAACACAAAGGAAGTCACAAACTATCATACATGAAATCATCATTTATCATAAATGCTACACAGGAAACACATTCGGGTCTGCAATACAGGACAGGGGAGTGGTGAGAACTACCCCAGATACAGTGGGTCCGACGTGACCAGGCTCAGGGAAGCCCGTACTAGTCATGCTGCTGAAACCGCCATGCCCGCCCCAGCCAGTGTGGCGCAGTCGGTTGGGTGTCGTCCACAAACCGAATGGATGCCGGTTCGATTCCCAGTCAGAGCACCTACCTCCGTTATGCACTCAACCGGTCTGTTTCGCTCTCTGTCTTTCTCCCTCCCTGCCTCTCTCTAAAATGCAAAAGAAAAACAAAAGGAAAAATGCTGTGCTAAAAATCTTTGAAAATCAAATCAAACTCCCTACAGTGTGTGAAATTTTACAAGTCCTTTGGAGGAGCACTTTCAAAAAGCAGCACTCGTTTATTTGTTCATTTATTTTTATATGAACGGACCTATAGAAAAGTTATTTACCATCGAGGGTTCAAGAACACATCCTGGAAACACTGGGAAACGTCCTGTCTGCCCAACCCCTGGGCCCATCTAGAGCTCCAGATTTATCCAATTCCAGGGGAGCCCCTTGGACCTGACAACCCCGAGGAGGAGCCAAGGAATGCAGGACCTTTAGAAGACGAGAGGACTTATGTGCAAAAACATGGCAGCCAGAGAAGTTAGGAGAAGTCACTCTGACATTTCTCCGTACTTTTGTTGCCTAATCTGCTTTCAAAGGCCAATAGTGAAGGAATTCTCCATTTTTCAAACCACCCCACCCAATCGAGGGTGCTTTGATCTGTGAAACATGAGAGAGGAGTACTGGACAGTGGGAGTGGGGGATGTTACTGGCCTTGAAAGGTCAGTTAGAGGAAAAGCATGTGGAGTTGAAACCATGCCTTGAGCTACCTGCCAAAGTTGAAGGCAACGGCTGGAAGAGACCACAGCTGACAGAGAGTGCACTGTCACGGGTATCGGTACCTACCCACCCTTGTGACTTCTCTGGTAATGGCCCTCTTCTCTACAGTGGGCACCTTCCTGGAGATGCTAGACACCCAAGGCAGATATTTCTTAGTTTAGCTTCATGGACACAAGCTTTCAACTCACTTCCAAGCTCTTTCATCCCTCATCAAACAGCAGTCACTTCTCGGAGCCTGCAGTCATGTTCTCTTGCTCCATCTCCTCCATAAAACACACCTGGCTGGAGCCAACGGCTGGGCTGTGCGCAGACGTGTGTGCGCACTACCAACGAGGGGTCACAGGGCCGTGTGAGTCATCAGGCATGCTGACACAGGCAAACGGTGAGAATGGGAGCAAGGTCCCTTGTGGGCTTTTCACGTGAGGTCAAAGAGAGTTGGCAAGTAAAACGAAGCTCCAAAAATAGCCCAAGTCTCTAAAAACAAAGAATGTAAAAGGAAATGAACTCTATGCTATTCTGAAGTAGGCGCTGCAAAAACTAGTCACTGGGAGGCTGGCTCTGGAGCAGGTGACTGTTTTCTCGCTGCCCCTTGGCTGTGACTTTCACTGGGTCCCTTTGCAAACCCCGGACCCTGCTCCCCGCAGGACTCCCAACCCTGCTGGACATCTCTGTAGGATGCAGCTCCGAGGCATAGCCCGGGCCTCGGTGGCCCACTTTCAAGAACCAGAATAGACTCTGACTTGTGGAATGAGCTCATGGAGTTTACATTCCTCTTTTGTATCCAAGCACCTTAAAACACAAACCGCTTGCAGGGGCTACTAACCAATCTTCCAGAGATGGCTGGGTGTCGTCTGTCTGGCAGAAGTGTGAGTTTTGTCCTTTTTATTATGTAATGTTTTGAGTGAGCCTGGGACCCTTGAAACATGAGGCTGCCCTACAGAGCGGTGATGATAAACTGACGTCTCAGGACTGAGGATTTCACTCTTGGCTGAACCACAGATTTGCTTTGATAAGCTGTTCAGCCTCTGCATTGCCGCAGCTCTCCGGCTGGAGAAAAAGGGAAAGTGTGCATCTACCCGTATAACCGAGGGAAGAGCAGATACGAAACGAAGGACTTAATGTAGTGCCTATACAACCGGCACTCAGAGGTGCTTGTTTACTCCTAAAACGCTTTGTAGAAGCCCAATTGCTATACAAATGTAGACAATCACCACACTAAAACACAGGTCCTTATTGACAACAACACCTCTGTTTCCTAAACACTCACTCTATTCTTTCTTCACAACACAGGGACCAGATCTGTTCCCATAACAGCTTCACTTTACAGATGAGGCAGCTGGGGATGGGAAACAGTGAGTGACCCGCACAAGTAGTTAATGAACCAGCAGAAGCCCAGACCCAGGCCCAGGACACTCAGGCTGCGAGAACTTGCCTTTTCCTGGGGCTCCCAACCTTGCAGGACCATTTGCTCAGTGCCCACAGAGGTCTCTGGCCCAGGCCCAGCCCCGGTTATCAGCAGTAGCCAGTAACTCTACTGTGACAAAGGTTAAGACAGACTCACAACATTGGGGACAGTGGCAGAGTGGCAATCAGGAAGCCACTGGACTGCTGTGAATGAGAACAGTTCTGTGCCCAGGCAGGAAATGGCCAAGACTCCATTCAACAAAAACAAGAGTCTCCTTCAGAACGCAGTCCACGGGGCTTCACGAGGTACGGAGGCTGGTGGGGCCCAGGGGACAGACAATCTAAGGGCTACTCGGTCCAGTGGGCTTTTTCTTCTCTTTCCCATGTTTCTTGGCAATTAAAATAATGAACTCTGGAGTCAGATCTGGGCTCTAACATTCATTGACCTATTTTTGAACTATAAGATGCACCTTTCCCCCCAAATTTGGGAGGAAACGAGGGGTGCACCTTATAGTCTGAATGTAGCTTGCCTGGCTCACTGAGGGCAGGTGGGGGGCAGGTGGCGGTGGAGCAGGGTCACAGGAGGCAGGAGCAGGGTTGCTGCTGCATTTTTCTCCCTAATTTGGGGGGCAGGGGCGTCTTATAGTCCAAAAATATGGTAGCTATGGGATCTTAGAGAAATTATTTCCCCGAGCCTCTGGTCCTTAGCTGGAAACTGAGGCATAAAAAAAGCAAATGCCTTGAGTTCAGTTCAAGGCAGTGTCCCTGTTCTGCTCATTAAACTTTGGGACATTGAACCAGCTAGGGTAAATGATTGACTAGAAAATTTTATTGTATTCACTTACCTCCCAGGCTAAAAAACAAACAAAGGAAAAAAAAAAGTATGCCTACCTAACAGAATTTCTTTGAGGATTAAGTAAAATAATGTATGAAAACATGTAGAACTATACCTGGTACATAGTAAATGTTTGAGAAAAGTTTACCATTTTATTATTTATGGACCTATTTTATTATTTATGGGTATGCCAAAGTAGGCTATTGTGAAACAGAAAGTAGAACAAGCCCTTTGCATCACCAGATTGACTTTGGAGAAGCCTAATTTTCTGCATCAGGTAATAAGGGGGCGGAAAGACCCAGTAAACACACCATATTCCCTATGAGCTGGCAGGTGTGTGGACTCCGAGAAAGAAAAGTCCCTGCTGGGCTGGTTCTAGAGACTGTAACGTGTATGACAGAGTCGAAGGGTTTGTGGAGACACATCAGTCAGAGAAGGTTAGAAGGCGGGGTGAGCCCTGATGGAGCCTCTGCAGAATCACTTTGCATTTGGCTCGAAGCCCTGGGGCTTTAAAGCATCAGCCTGCAGGAAGGACATGTCTGTTTAAGATGCACTCAGGATTTCAGGGTGCCTGGGAGGCTGCAGATGCTCGGACGGGTGTAGCATTAAAATTCAGGCAGAAGAGAGCGGCCACTGCACCAGGGAGGAAAGTCCTACCGTATTTCCTGTAGGACTGGAGGCTGTTTTCTCTAAGCACTTAGAAAAAATTATTTCCCTGAGAAATTATTTCCCCGAGGGGAAAGAATTCCTGACCCCCAATTGAATAATGCTCAACGAGAGGAAGTGTTCTGAGGGTAGAAAAGCCAGCCTGCAGAGAATTAAAGATTCAGAATCAAGGGAAGAAATAAAGGGTACTGGAGGAGATCCTTGATGACGAGGGAGGGGGTCATCTGCTCACTTGTTCTACTCTTCATTAAGGAGAATGAGAGCTGAGGCTGGGACTGAGCTGCTGGGTGACCACTTCCAACCAGTTACGCTTGCTCCGGGCTTCTAGGCTCCTCTTTTCGGAGGCAGAAAGCATGGCTCCATGAGCCTGCTGTGGCCAGACTGTAAACTCCTCCAAGGCAGACACTGGTTTCTGCCACAGATCCAGACTCCCTTTTCTGAAGAGCCTTGAGGAGCCATATATTTTAGAACCCAGAATTTTGGGGATTTTAGAAAGGCAGTACGGCACATATAGTGTATATTACGGAACAACTCCAGTGGGGTCTGGGACAGTACCGTATAATCGAACCCATTAGTAATTCTGCACTAGATTATAGAAATGTTGACACTAAGTGGAATAAGTAAAGATTTTAGTTGAAGGGAGGTTTGGGTCAGGTTTTGCCACCATTTGAATTATGAGAGAGCTCTAGTGTTTAGAGCCTTTAGCGTTTTATAATTGTGGATTCGAGATCTCAGACCTTCCTTTTTCCTTTTCCTTTTCCTTTTCTTTCTTTTCTTTTTTAAATTTCCAGGGCATCTGCAGGTACTGAGTAGAGGTGGTTGGTATTCTAGGATATGACATCTTGATCTCCTGCAAATAATATTTGATTCTGGAACCCAGGGGCCAGTTTATTATCAGTGACTTGGGGAATTCTTTAGAATTCCAAGGATCTGGAATGAAAGAACAGGTGATGAAGACTATTGAACTCTAGGTTCTCTGTCGTCCTGGACAGTAACACACAAAGGCCAATGACATACACTGAGAACTGGTCACTAGTAAACAAAGTCAGCACCCCAGCAAGTAAGATGAGAACATCATTACACATAAGTGACAAAGACCGTTTCTAACCTACATATAGAAAATGGTATTTTTCCAATATTTCCAACATATAACTAAATGTTTAAAATCAAGTTTCCTCAATCCAAAATCAATAGCACAGGTGGACAAAACTAAACAGTATACTACATGAAGGATGTTAACCAAACTAACATCTATTGAATGCTTATTAAGTTATCGAGTACTGGGCTCAGCACTTTATACGTATTGTCATTTAGCATTTAAAGTGATTCTGCACGGCAGCTGCTGCTACGGAACCCCTTCTGCAGGTGAGGAAACTGAGACTCGAAGACTAACTTGCTAGCAAGTGTCTGGCCAGGGTTCAAAGCCAAGATTAGTAGTGTGCTGTAAACCAGCCATCAGAGAAAAAAAGAAGGGAAAGTGTTGGGGGAAGGTGGGAGGGAAGGGAAAGGAAAGCTGAAAATAGAGGGGGAAAAGCCCTGATTTCTACTATTTCTGTGGTGTTAAATAGTCGCACTAGGGCTGACCTCGGGCAGGCTCATAAAAGTCCTGTGTGTTTACATAACTGGCTTTTATAAACTTGTAGGAGCCATCTCTTGGGCACCACTATTGAGTCCACTCCATGGCCACACCCACAGCTTACCGCCAACGTTAGGAGGACAGATTTCAGCTCTTGGAACAGGGCTGGCCGGGGAGCAGCCTGCTGAGGTGCCATCCTCGGCCAGCCAGCCATGGCTACATTCCTGCCTCAGACCTGCTTCCCATCACTGAGGGCGGAGCAGAGGGAAGGGAGAGAGAAGAACACACTGCCTCCCTTTCTTCAGGCAAATGTTCCTTCCCCAGAGCGCATCAACCTGACACTCTGGGCAGAAATCACAAAACCGGGGCTATTTTCTCCAGACCACACAAACTCTGTCTTGGTCAGATAAGAAGGTGTTAGACTTGTTAGACTCTCATATTTGAGACCAAAGGATCTGCTACCTTCCTTTAGATTTTTGATTTCCATAATACTTCCTTCAAAGAAGTAAGGAAGTAAGCATCTTCTACAAGAGAAGAACTGGGTTTGGGCCTACTTTTAAGCAAAGGTAGAATATTCTAGCCTAATTTTAACACAGTTAAAATACATTTAGGCTCATGGCTTACTTTCTCTATTAATACCTGAGAATTGGGTCTCCTAACAGAGTTTCCACTAGAGTATCCTGAGAAAGAATTGGTCTGGTATTCAATCAATGAATACCAACAGGACATATTATGTGTTCAGGCATTTGCCAAGTGCTGGGTCTGGGGGGGGGGGGGAGGCATAACCCAGAGTCTCAGGGACTAATGAAAGAGATACCTATGTAAGCATAGTTAAATTATATTCATTCACTCATTCAACAAATATTCTTCAGGTGCCTGTTAGGTACCAGGCATTTTTCCAGACACTAGGACACCATGGTGAGCAAGACATCGATTTACACCATCATGAAGCTGATAGCACAGTCATGAAGAGAGGCATTAATTAAATAACCAAAAGAACGAATGTGTGGTTAAAAACTGAGGTAAGAACTCTGAGGAGATGTTAAATGGTCCTTTGAGGACTGGAGGAACCTGACACAGTTGAGGAAGTCAGGACAGGCTTCCTTGAGGATTTGGCAGGTGAACTACAACTGGCAGAAAGAGCGAGAAAGAACTGGGTGAATGGGTAGGGAGAAGGTGAAGAGGAACAGCACTCTAGAGAGAGGGAATGGTTTGGGTAGAGGTGGGGGGAGGCGGGACGGAGGCGGCAGCTTCCAGGAAATGAAAGGCTAGTTTGGAGAGAGGGCGTGGCGGGAGATGAGGCAGGTCAGGAGACAGGGCTGGACCTCAGGGGCCCCACGGTTGCTGGGGCCTTGGCCCCGTCCCAGAGCAACAGGAAACCTCAGAGGGCTTCAGCCGGGCTGGTGCAGGCTGACTCCCAGTGCTGCGCCAGATACAGGGCGGCCGGGGAGGCATTAGGGAATCAACTCATCCAGGCCAGCACATGTGGTGTGGAGGAAGTGAGGGCGGCGAGGGCTGGGGGATGTATCCAAATAGGCTTTCTGGAGGAGAAAATACCCGAGATGAATTTTTGAGGCATGAGTATGACTTAGCCAGGCCAGGGTAGAAGGGCGGAGGGAGAGAGAGAAAGAATGCGCTGGGCGTGCGGCTGTGGGGGACTGCAAGAAGGACAGGTCAGGGAGGGGAAGAGCGGCCGGGCCAGGCCTCCCAGCTCACTGTGGAGTCGGGTTCTATTGTCCTGAGGGCAGAAGGAAACCCCGTGACACAGTCAGAGAGCTTTGGCGAGAGAGTGATTATCCAGTTCGTGTGCTAGGAAGGTCACTCACGGCAGGGTCAAAGGGGATTAAAGGGGAACTCCTTAAAAGGAGAGAGACCCCCGCTGCCAGTGACAGCTGCCTAGGAGAGAGAAGGTGCTGTGCCTGCACCGAGGCAGCCACAGTGGGAATGAAGATTGTTTCTGGAGACGTTGAAAAGGTACAATCGAAAGGGTTTTGTCGCCAGTGGGATGGCTGGGAGTGACTGCTATGCTACCAAAGAACAGCCTGAACACCATGGATTCTTCATTTGTGTTGAGTCTTGCCTTTTGACCTGACACGCAGTCAGTTTTTTAAATGCTCCAGATGCGCTTGAGGAGAATGGGGTTCATTGACCGCCGGGTGCAGAGTTCTCCTGTGCTCATTCATTGAGCTTGTTAATGTGTATTTCGGTCTTCTGTGATTATGCTTTTGTCTGTTTGCTCTGCTATTGGTGGCAGAAATGTATTAAAATCTCTCGCTATCATTGTGGATTGTTGATTTTTGCTTCATATATTTTGAGGCCATGTCACTGTTACACAAGCTTCAACATTTTATATCTTTGTACTGTTCCACTTAGCATTATGCAGTGATCTCTTTTATCCTTGACTGATCTTTCTGTCTTACACCTACTTTATATGATATTAGTATAGCCACATTAACTTTTAATTTGTTGTTAACATTTGGTATCTATTTCTCATCCTTTTGCTTTTAACCTCTGCATCCTTGCACTTTAAATGTGTCTCTTGTAATCAAAGATGAAATTTTTAAAAATCCAGTAGTAAATTTAACCATTTACATTTATTGTAATTATAAATATTTTTTATTTATTTCTACCACCTGATTTTGAAAAATTTTTTTAATTTTCTATTTTTCTCAATTCTTGTAGATAAATATAACTTTGTTTATTTTGTCTTCTTTCCCTTATCTCTTACGAGTTGCTGGTTGGAATTGACATATTTTGTATGTTTGCTTTCATTAGTTACCCTTAATATTTAACATGCATTCTGACTTAACAAGATCTAGGTTAGTTAACATCTGTAAGGAATAGTTAAGCTTTGAGGTAATGGCATTCTGGGGGGGGGGGGCAAGGACTTAAAGCATATTTGGAACCAAAGTCAAAGCCTGTTTTACATATTCTGGATTTGAGGGCACTTATCCAATTATCATCTTAACAGATACCTATACATCCACTTTCAGTGGCTTTATACACTTTGCAAAAGATCTCCTTCCAGGAGTATTCTGCATTGCAGTGACAGAGGTTAAAAGCAAAACAAAAAAATTAACATTTCCTTGATTCTTAGAACTGTAAGTCTTCCTTTCTGGCCTCGTCGCCAGGGCCAAAATGAGCACAGAGTTCTCCTATGTATAACGGGCTTCACAAATGTCTGTGGATGACTGTGGATTAGCTGAGCACTGAGCGTGAAACAGTGACTTTTGCCTCCTTCATTTCTCTGCTCTCTTGGTGGCTTGAATGATGGGGCCAGGGGGAGGCTTAGGTAATTTCTTCCCAATGTAAAAGGAAATAAAAAATTCTATTTTCAAGCCATGGCTGGTGTAGCTCAGTAGATTGAGTGCAGGCCTGTGAACCAAAGGGTTGCAGTTCAATTCGCAATCAGGGCACATGCCTGGGTTGCAGGCCAGTTCCCAGCAGGGGACACATGAGAGGCAACCATACATTGATATTTCTCTCCCTCTCTCCTTCCCTTCCCCTCTAAAAGAGAAATAAACAAAAATCTTTTAAAAAATTCTATTTTCATACCAATTGAAAAGTGATCTTAAGTTAAGCCTTCAACCACAGCTGACCCAGACCACACAAGGCTTGACTAGTCCAACATAACCAGGTACTCCTGTCTCCTCCAGGCCAAGTCCCGTGTTTGTCCTTTCCAAGTGCCCTGATGGTTGTTGAGCCTGCTTAGCCCTTCAGACAAGTCTGAGGCAGACGGGGAGGAGTGAGCGGTGCGTGCAGGGCCCCAGAGCCAGTGAGTACGGACGAGGGGCTGCGCAGTGCCACCCACGGCACCACACTGAGCCGTGACTACTGTGTTCCTGGACCAGAGCGTAGGCTTACCACCCTGTTCACGTGTCAGAGTTCACGTTCTCTTCCACAAGCTGCAACAGACAAACTATGTCAGCCTCAACACGGGTGTTCCAACAGGCTCAGTGTCCTCATTTGGTGTCACTGATAAGGCGAGAAAGTCTTCAGGTTTTCCCAGGATTTCAGAGGGCTGGGCTGAGCACTCAACCATGACAGAAAGGCCACTGGATCTCTTCCACCTCCCAGCATGCACACACAAACCTACACACAGGGGGTGGGAAGAGAGAACCCCCTCCCCTGACAGCCAACAAAAGGATAATAATCACAAGAAGCACAGCTTATACATTTCCACCACGCTTAATGCTGGATTTTGCATAGTTAATGGATTCATTTACTAGAGCAATCTGTGTAAGTCCCCAAGGGCCAACTAAGACTGCTGCCTAATAGGTTCATCACGTCACAGACTCCCTTTATCCCCCTCCTCTAATAAATACAGCATTGGCAAGGGACAGCGTAATAAAGCATAATAATAATAATAATAATAATAATAATAATAATGGCTTTTCATGCCTCTGGGTTTTCCTTTGGCAACAAAAGGAAAGTTTTAAAGTCTCCCATGATGCATAAATGCTGCTTCCACAGTCTACCGATTTCACGGCGACTCGAGGCTTGTTTTTGGGAGTCGGCCTGTCCCCTTCAGGTTTCCAGGTGTGGGTCTGCATGGGAGGGTAACGGGAGCAATCTGAAGCCAGCACAACCACCCCATCCCTGAGCATCGTGCTGGCGGGAGCAGGCAGAGGGCAGAGTTGTGGCCTTGTGTAGCTGTAGGTGGCCTCTGGCAGAGGTGGCTTAGCCACAAGAGCCCCGCAGGGACAATGTCCAGGAACGGGAGCACCAGGACGCTCCTGGCCAGAGCTGGTCCCTCCAACCCCATCCAGCCCACCTGTGCATCGGTTCCCCTCCACACCAAGAGGGGGAAGCCAGAATGCCAGTAGACAGAACCAAATTCATGCCCGACCCTTAGAAATGTCTTCATGGAGACTGGCCACAAACGCTGGATCCAGAAGCGAGGCTGTCCCTGACACGTACAATCGGGGGCACATGGGACCTCCACCGGAGGAAACCCAGGGACAAGAGGAAACAAAGTTCCATCCACTGAAGACTGACACTACAAATGGCTATTTGTACAGTTAAATGGCAGCCACTGGCACATAATTAGTACTTCCTGCACCAAATTGAGGACAAAGCTTAGTAAGTGCTTGGAAAAAAATTGATTCAACAAAAGGCACTGATTATCTTTTAGCTGTGTTTTCAAGAAGGAGGATCTTGTATGTTAATGGAGAGGTGATGGGTGAAGAGATCCATGTTTGGAAGAACTGAAGTGCTTTACATCAGAAGGAGTCCTGAACGAGGGGAGCGGGAAGGAGACTGAGAGGCTGGGTGGGAAGAGGGCTCAGTAGAGAGACCAAATGAGGGAGGGAGAAAGAGGTGGACACGGAGACTTGGGGGCTTGTGGATGAAAGAGGAGGGTTTGGAAGAAAGCATAAGGGGCTGGGAAGAAAATGCAGTGTGCCGAGCAAGGCAAATGCTGTCTGCCGTGTGAAGCGGGTGCAAACTCAGTTTCCTACCTGTCAGGGTGAGGTGGGAAAGAGCGGGTCAGCAAGCGGAGAGAGGGCATTTGGGGTGGTTGGACTTCAAATATAGTTGGTATGGCACATGCAGAATTCTCTGTGGATGACCTCAGATGACAACCAGAACCAGGGATGGTGTGACTGGCCAACAGGGAGAGATGGACCAGAGACATTGACATGCTTGGAGCAGAGGAAACAACACAAATCCTAATTCCAAAGTCGCCAGGACAAATTATGCAAACTGTTGCCTTCGTTTAGAGCAGAAGGCATTTCTGTGGAGTAGCTCGGCGAGGCTGTTCTGGGGATGGAGGGACAGGTGGCCGGTGAGCGGGGGAACACAGGAGGCGGGCGGCTTTCTGCAACACTCACAGGGTCCTCCTGGGACGTGGGTTCTCCTGGGGAGGAGGACTTGCCGGGCTCCCACCGCCAGGCTGGCATGTGGGCCAAGGCCAGCGCTGTCGGTGGTGATTACCAATGTCTGGGTCGCAAATAAATAACTTAATTTGCGGCTGAAACCACAGATAGTACCAAACCCTACATACTACATTTTCCTATATGTGCATACCTATGGTAAACTTTAATTTATAAATGAGGCATAGTAGATTAACAACAATAACTAATCATAAAACAGAACAAGTACAATAACATACTGCAATAAGAGCTAGGTAAATGCCTTTGGGGCCATCGTGAAGTAGAATAAGGGTTCCCTGAACACAAGCGCTGAGGTTCCACAACAATCTGATAGCCGAGGCGGCCGAGTGCCGAACAGGTGAGACCCTGCGCCTGTGCTGCACCCGCGTCCCGGGCGGGGAGGAGCCGAGGCTGGGAGGCTGCGCCGGGCCACGCAGAGCACTGCAGGCCCAAACCTCGGGAGTCAGTCACCGCTGGAGTTTTTCACTTGATATTTCCAGACCACGGTTGACCAGGGCAAGTGAAACCACAGAAAGGGAAACCGTGGCTAGAGGGGCAGAGAACTACGGCAACACCACAGTCGGTGAGGTCGCCGCGCTTTTCCTGGTGATGGAGGGCAAGTTAGGGCTTTGTTTCCACAGACCCGCCTTCGGGCTCAGCTCCATCGCTTACCAGCTGCTGACCTTGGACACCACGGCACATCTCTAAGTTTTGGCTTCATTTTATTTAAAAAAAACAGGGATACTATTAACGCCTGTCTCAAAGGTGTACAGTGAAGATTATATGAATTAACTCGTAGCCCGGAATACATTAATGATGATGGTCGTTGGTGGTATAAGGCCAGCAGATAACCAATGTGATGACCAGCATCTACTCACCCTTCTGCAGGCCCCCGGTTGGTGGCCTGGACTCTGGGCCTCTGCCTTGCCGTTGCGGCCACCCAGCCCGTCATTCTCCTAAATGGTGGGGGCATGCAGATGCTTTTTAATGCGTGGAGACATCATCAATACTTCTGTGCTCTAGTACATTGTACGTTTGCATGCAGTGGCAGAAACCACATTAGAGGATTATAATATGCAATACAGTGGTTTCTGAGTCATAATAAGTATGTCTCATTAAACGATAACTAGGCTGAAGATGGCCTTGGGACAAGAGACACCTTCTCTGTGACACGGGATATGTGAGCTGTGGAAGCAGGCGATGACTGGCCTGTCCTTCGTAAGGGTGTCTCAGAAAACTCCCCGTGGGTCTGTGCCTGCCCTTTAAAAGCCCCGCCAGACACCCCCAGGTGCCATTTCCTAGTGCTGGTTCCATTCTCACCAGCAAACCCGGAATTTTCCTCCACACACTAGCCCTTGGCTGCCCCGTTGTGGGAGGCTGGGGGGCCCTGTGCGAGTCCACTGGGTCTCGAGGACCCGGGTTCTCTGTGCTGCCTCTGCACCTGGGCTGGCAGCGCCCAGTCCAAACCGTGGGAGGGGAGAGGGCAAAACCTCAGTGCCGGCCTCTCAGCTTTTGTGGGTTTCGGCCTGACCTTGGGTGTTATTTTAGGGCAACTTCGGTATTTAATTTGAGGATGTGTGTGGATCAGAAGGAGGGACCGACACATTATTTTTTTTCCCCTTGGCCAAATGATTAAATTTAAAATTCTAAAAAACGCACAGCTTGATCCAAAGCTGTGTCCAATTGGGAAGTGAGAAATGCCCCGATAATCCCTCCCATGCCGGGCCATCCTTCCTTAACCACCGGCCACCACGCAGGGCCCGCACTGTGGGCATGCCCGGGCTAGTCGGCGGTTCCAGGCCGACCAGAGCCCTGCATCCCGAGGTTCTCTGTCCCTTCTTGAAAGCGTGCCTTGCACCTTTGCTGGGAGAACATTCTACAGGTTTGTTCGATTTCTTACAGCCGTGAAAACACCCTTCACCAGCAGCCGCTGAGCCATGGCTGAAGGGGAAGTCAGCACGTTCACAGCCCTGACCGAGAGGTTTAACCTGCCTCTGGAGAATTACAAGAAGCCCAAACTTCTCTACTGCAGCAATGGGGGCCACTTTCTGAGGATCCTTCCAGATGGTACAGTGGACGGGACGAGGGACAAGAGCGACCAGCACAGTAAGCACTCATCTCCTTAGAGCCCCTGGCCTTTCTGGCGTCTTCCTTAGCCAGGGGTGGGGGAAGGGAGGGCATCTAAATCTGGTGCCCTCCTCTGCAGGGTCCCATTCAGGCACGACACTCCTGGAGGCGGGTGATATAGACCTGGGAAGGGTCTGGGTGTGGAAAATAGACTCGTGCGAGCCACCGCTGACCTAAAGGGGACTCTGTTGACTTATACAACTGCTCTGAGCCCAGAGGTGGAGGCCAGTGTTTCACTGTTCAGATTTCTGTTGTTAGTGAGCGGCCTGGCCCCTGAGGCTGGTCAGGGTCCCGTTTGCTCGATGAGGGGCAGAGCTGCGTGGGGCGGGCGCAGTAAAGCTTGCATCGAGACATGGGCTCAGGTTCAAGTTTCCTGACTCGCTGGAAGTGGCTGGGTTACCTTTCCAGTGGGCTTGATTTGTGAAATCCTAGTTCAGATTATAGTCTTACACATCATAAATTATGCAGCTTCCGCTCTGCACATCCTGCCCTGTGGCCGAGGTTGCCGGGAGGGGCGAAGTCCTTCGCCAGACCTTACAGAAACCGGAGAGCAGGAGCAGCTCCAGCCAAAAGCTGAATATCTCTTCCGGGCTTTCCTGCCAGCCCAGTTCTCAGGCGGCGGTGTTGATAAACGGGGTCAAAACTTTGGAGAAAAGAATCTTCTTGACTATCAAAGAATAAAAATGTCTTCCTTCTGCTTTAGTGCTGCTCTCGGGGTTGGCACGTGTTGAGTTTGGTGTCGGGGTCCCACTGCCATGCTATCCGGAGTCCACTGAGTTGCCCTGAAGCGTTAGATGTTGTAGAGAAGCCAAAGGTCAGATCTGCTCCATGCTAAGAGGCTCAAAAAGCCCAAGCCTGTCGGGAGCGGGGAGAAGGAAAGTGGGGATGAAACCAGGAGACACGAGGCTGTGGCTTTCATCTGCAGTCAGGGCTCCTGCACAGGGCTGCAGAGTTAGATGTGTCGGGCCTTGTTTTGATGGCTTGTCTTCAAATGCACCTTCTGAATGCCTGGTACTGGATGAAAAATAGGCACCAGAGTGAGGCAAAAAATAATCTATTTAGCACGACGTCAACTGTGCAGAAAACGTTTCCTGCGAAGAAATCACCTTAGATTGTAGTCTGTTGTGTGAGGCAGGCCACGCAATTTGTGTGATCTGTCCCACTCAACACAGGGAACAAGCTTTCATTCCCCAAGGTTTTAAACATCTCTAATAAGTTTTATCAGTCTTCTGAACTGACAGGAATGCTCTCTGGTCCTCAGAATCTCAGGGGAAAGACAATCTCGGTGATTTGCTCCTCCAGGCTAAGCTGGCTCTCTCGGAAAACTTGGAATTCTGGGGTAACAGGAGGTTACAATGACAATGTCCAAGTATTGGAATTTCTGTGCAAATGCCACATGTCTTCGTTGTCATCATTCCATCATCAACATATAGATCGCACTCTAGGTAGGTAATACTGGGACTTCTGAGCAGTGCTGAGGATTCGGCTGCTTCACCCAAGATATCAGGGACCCTTGGAATACAGGCAGCCTCGGGAGGGTGGGCAAGGAGGTCTGCGCGTACAAGTGACGCTGGATGAACGATTCGCCAAGTGAACTTGGGAAAGCTTCGGAACCTTTCTGACCTCACTCTTCTCACTTATACAATAATAATATTACCTGCCTCACAGGTTTCTTGAGAAGACTAAGTGAGATGATGTAGTGAAAAATCTGGGCACTGTCCCTTGGCCCAGAGTAAGCACATGCTGGTTGATGTTGCTATTGTTGACACCGCTGCTGTCATTGTTGTCACCATGAAGATTAATATGTATGCCACCCAGCACACATGATGGAGTTAATGCTTAGGACCTTCTCTAGCTTTTTCTCTTCAATAATACTGCCTTCCAGGAAAGCCAGGGGGTCTTAGCTTCAGCGTTTGATTCAGTGCCTCTTGGGCAACATTCAGAGTTAGTGTGTTGGTCTCTGTACTCACTTTAGGACCGAGGGCAGAAATCAGAGCGAGCGCAGTGAGTGAGCAGAAGTCCACCCCTGTGCCTGCCAGTGCCGGGAGAACCAAATAACCCACACGCCCCCTGGCGTCAGGGGCCTGAGTCGCAGGGTCAGAAAGCCTGAGTTCATATTCCTGTGCCTCCACTTTCTAACTGGAGCAACCATCGACCATTATCAGCCTCTCCATTTTGCATGAAGAGCTCTGCAGAAGCAGAGTCAAGCCTCCAGCCCCATGACCCTTCCAATTATCCTCTCCTATCTGGAGCTGCGGGTGTCTCCAGTGCTCCCAGCTGTCTGTCCGTATGGAAAATACTGAGACTCAGTTCCCCCACCTGTGGAATGCTCGTCATGACACTGCCATGTGTACTCAACAACACCGAAAACACAGGAGATCCTGTAGCCAAGAGGACTCCTTGGCTTGGATGCACCCACTGAATGTGGTTCTGTCGCCCTCTTCTGCTCAGTGGCGGTACTGCCACAACCCTTCTCAATTTCAAGGATGACTCGGAAACAATCGACCTGGACAGGCAGACGTGGAGTGGATGATCTCTGACTGACTGATTCCCTGATCACTAGTTTGAGCATGATCAGGTACAGAGCCATACTCTAAGACTTCCTTCAGAAAGAATTATTTCTAAAAGCCAATCAAATATTTAAAGAAATCTACATAAATCATTCAAGATAGAACTGTATGACTGCCAGCTCTACAATGCAAAAAACAAAACAAAACAAAAAACTCCTTTCACAGCTTAGCTTTGTCCCCTGGACAAAACTGGGAGGTTTTCAAAATTGGTCTCCTCTCTCCAGCACAAGTTCCCAGGTCCCTAAGAGGAGGCCTCTGCGGTGGCGTAAACCTGCAAGGGGTGCTTGGCGCAGGCTTTGTAATGGGCTCTGAGGGAGGTGTGTCCACCGATGGGACTTTCTGCCCTTCACAGCTCCTCCCACTACGTGGAGGCAGCCGGCCCTGCTGGCCCTGCCGGCCAGGCTGGGAGCTTGCGCCATTGCGGCCTCACAAACGCCAGGCAAAGGCAGAGATCAAGAGCCGTGGGCTGTGAGAAGGCCCTTGGGGCCGGTTGTGAGAAGATCCATGTCGACTCCCAGGGCCTTTCCTCTGGGCAGCGGGTAAATGGAGACATCACGGGAGAGGGAGGACCCTGGAAGAGGCACAGATGCAGGAAAGATTGCTATTTGAGGAGTATGCCAGGCAGCTCTCCTTTGAGTTGGAATTTCACATTTGTTTATGTGACTCTTTAATGCTTTTCTCCCACATGGGCTCCCTGTGGATGGGAACTCAGAGCCCAGCACTGTAACTGCTGTGGCTGACGCTATGCCCAGCAGTTGACATGGTGTCTGGTGAACATTAATTTGATGAGTGAATGAATTGTATTGGTGGCAGATAAATCCAAATTCAACAGTATAATAAGTAAATACCGGTGGAGCACCTGGATGTGCCAGGCTGTGACTAGACGCTTACATTGCTGCCTGGCTACCACCCCTGTGGTTACAGATGATCATTGCTCTGTGAACACTGAGCTAACAGGGCGTGTGACCAGCGAGTGACTGGGAAATCTCTGCACAGAATCCCCGGCTGCTTCCTCCAAGACCAAAGCTCCCTCCGTATCCCACCGCTGCCCCCGACAGCAGCACCATGGCTGTGGTTTTGCCCCACAAGGGGACTGAATGAATACGCTGGGTTCACACAGACTGCGTGTGGGTCAGATGGACAAGGGAACGGGTCCCCTCGCCGCTTACCAGTTCCAAGTCACCGTGGGGAAGTCACCTCCCCTCCACGTGCCTCGGTTTCCTTGGTTTAAAAGCAAGGATGACAAAACCATCAACTAAATGAAAAGACAACCCACCGAATGAGAGAATATATTCACCAATGATATAGCTGATAAAGGGTAGAGATCCAACATATACAAAAACTCATATACCTCAAGAACCTAAATAAATAAATAAACAATCTGAAAAAAAAAAAGGACAGAGGACGTGAAAAGACATTTCTCCAAAGAGGACATATTGATGGCCAATGGACACATGGAAAGATGCTCAACATCACTAATCATCAAGGAAATGCAAATTAAAACCACACTGACATACCAGCTCATACCAACCAGAATGGCTATTATCAGAAAGTCAACAGATACCATGTGTTGATTAGGATGTGGAGAACAATGCACCCTGGTGCACTGTCAGGGAAACTTCAAGTTGGTGCAGCCACTGTGGAGACAGTATTGAGATTCCTCAAAAAACTAGAAATATATATACCAATTCTACCTCCGGATATTTATCCAAAGGGGAAAAAAGCTCTACTTCAAAAAGATATATGCACCCCTCTGTTCATTGCAGCACTGTTGACAATTGCAAAGATATGGAGGCAGCCCAGGTGTCCATCGGTAGATGAGTGGATAAATATGTGGTACTTACATCCTACAGAATACTATGCAGCAATAAAAAGGAATGAAAAAGGTGTCCATTTGTGACAACATAGATGGATCTTGAAAGTATCGTGCTAAATGAAGTAAGTCAGACAGGGAAAGGCAAATACTGCATTGTTTCATCCATGTGTGGAACCTAAAAAAGAAAACAAAGGAATAAAAATAAAACAGAACAGACTCACTGAAACAGAGACCAAAGGGATGGTTAGCAGAAGGGAGGAGGATGGGGGATGGGTGAAAAGGTAAAGGGGAATGTAGTCATAATATTGTGATAAGTTCCCACAGGAACAGGTGATGACTAGAATTAGTGGGGTGATCACTTTGCAAGGTATAAAAATGATGAATTGCTATATTGTACACCTGAAAATTATATAACTAGTATAATTATACCAACTATACTTAAATAAACAAATTTAGATTAAATAAAAAACAAGGATGACAAGGATACCTGTTTCATAGGAAAGGAGGAATTTTAAGTGTGACGATGTTTGTTAAAGTGTTTAAAACACTACCGAGCATACCGTAAGTGCTGGAAAATGGGTTAATCATCCTCA